CTCCCCTTGTGTTGTGTTCTTACCTGACCTTTACTTTGTGTTTACACAGAGTAAAGTGTCTCTTCCTCTTTTTACAAGGGTACTATTCCTAGTGGATAAGGCCCCCACCCTTATGACCTCTATTAACTTTTATTATGTCCTTGAAGGACTTATATTCTAATACAATCACATTGGGGGTTTGGGCTTTAATAATACGGATTTTGTGGGGAGACAATTCAGTTTATAACAGTAAGTCAAAGAGTAATACTTACATACTTTTTGTTTTGTCAGATATTTCTTATTACCACAGAAGTTGTATACCATTTGCATTTTCACTAGCAATGTATGAAAGTGCCTGTTTCCCCACAGCCTCTCCAATAGAGTATATTGAAATTGGTATTCAGTGATGAGGTCTTTTTATGTGAGTGAAATTGTACATCTTCCCCTATATTTGAGTAATTTTTGTATCTTTGTTTTTGTAAAGTGTTTGTCTTTTGTCTACTGTTCAATAGATTTCTTACTCATTTTTTCCTTTGATTTGATTTGATTTATTTTATTTTTTAAAGATTCATTTATTTATGCATATAAGAACTGGGGTACAGGCCAGAGGTGTAGCGGTGAGAGTATTCACCAGGGACAGAGTGGGGAACAGAACAGGAGGATGTACTGAAATACAATGCTGAGAGGAGCAGCAGGTGAGTCATAAGACTCGGTCTGCTGCACCATGTGGGTCACCTCCCTGGCCAGGGATAGAACTCATGCTACAGTGGCTGCTGAGTAGTGCTGTATCTTAACCCCTTGTGCCACCTGGGCGGCCCCCCTCCTTTGATTTTTTTTTTCCCTTGGACTGGTAGGTTTATTTATTTATTTTTTTTACTCTTTTATTTATTTATTTTTATCTTTTTTTTTTTAAACAATTATTTGTTTCCTCCCACCCTCTCAGGGTGAGTCCCCATAGAATTTCCTTCCCCAAGGCACCCGTACACCATCACCACAGTCCCCTGTGCTCCTCCCTCCCTCCCTCTCACCCCTCTCCCTCCTCTTCCCCTGTAGGATGTCTCTGGTTTACAATTGTCTGTTTTTGCTTTGTTGTGTTTTGTTCTGTTATTATTATTATTTTTTACACTGATGTCTTATTTGGTTCCCCTATATTTCTGTTATAAGTGAAACCATCCAATATTTTTCTTTTTCCTTCTGGTTTATCACTGAGCATAATTCCTTCTAGCTCCATCCACGTTGCTGCGAATGGCATGAGTTTATCTTTTTTATTGCTGAATAATATTCCATTGTATATATATATACCACATCTTCTTAATCTAGTCATCTAGACATTAACCAAAACAGAAAGACACCCCACTGATTGGGAAAAAATCTTTGCACTCCATTCAACTGATAAGGGACTGATCACAAAGATATACAAAGAACTCACAAGGCTCAACAAAAACAAAATAAACAATCCAGTCAAGAATGGGCAGAAGAACGTAAAAGACATTTCTCCAAAGAGGAAATGCAAATGGCCAACAGGCATATGAAAAAATGTTCAACATCCCTTATTATCAGGGAAATGCAAATCAAAACCACACTGAGATACCACCTTACACCAGTAAGAATGGCACATATCAAAAAAGCAAGCAACAACAAATGTTGGAGAGGATGTGGTGAAAAAGGAACTCTCTTACATTGCTGGTGGGAGCGCAAACTGGTCCAACCACTATGGAAAGCTGTCTGGAGGTTCTTTAGACTACTAAAAATGGAGCTACCAGACAACCCGGCAATTCCACTACTAGGGATCTACCCAAAGGACACAAAAACATTGATTCAAAAGAACACTTGTACACCTATGTTTATTGCAGCACTATTTACAATAGGTAAAACCTGGAAACAACCCAAATGCCCCCTCCTTTGGTTTTATTTATTTTATTTTATTTTTTTAAAGATTTATTTATTTATGCATACAAGAGCTGGGGTACAGGCCAGAGGTGTGGGGGGTGAGAGGATTCACCAGAGACAGAGCAGGGAACAAAACAGGCAAATTGACAAAAGTACACTGCTGAGGGGAGCAGCGGGTGAGACACGAGAGGTCTGCTGCGTCATGTGGGTTTCTCCCTGGCTGGCTGGGGATTGAACTCGTGCTGCAGATTGCTTCATAGTGCGGTGCTTAACCCCTTGCGCCACCAGGGAGGCCCACCCTCCTTTGATTTTAAAAAGTTCTTTATATATTGAAATATTAATTCCTTACTCATATATGTAGTGATGAGTATTGCAAATGTTATTTTCTAGTATATTGTCTCTTGACTTTGTAATTCTCCTCCATCCCTGACTGTTATTTCTCTTTGCCATGTAAAAGTTTTCTGTTTTCAGGTATTCAAATGTATCTGTTGTTTCTTTTTTCCATCTGGATTTCAGGACTTTTTTTTTTTTTGAGATTGTTTGCTTATGCATACAAGAATTGGGGTACAGGCCAGAGGTGTGGGGGGAGTGAGAGGAGTCACCAGAGACACAGAGGAGAGCAGAATATCGGGTCTTAGTTCAAGAAAAGTATTTTTTTATATTCATGTTAAAGAGAACTTCATGTTTTCTTTCTTGTATAGTTTTGTTTTTACATTTCAGTCTTTGATTTGGTATTTATTCCTGTGTGTGATGCAAGGAATGGATATAATTGTGTTCTTTTTCCAAATGGCTGTTTATTTGCCCCATATAATCTATTAACAAAAAGCACATTTGCCTCAGTAATTTGAGATATGAACTTTATCATCTTCAAAGATGAACTTTATCATCTTCAAGCAGTGTTTTCACATTATAGATTGAATGGCTTTTGGTAAGTTATATAGAAACAGTCAAATAAAAATGAGGAAATAAAAGCTTAAATGAGGAACTAGACCAAATAGATTTCATAGATACCTACTGAACACTGCCCCCAAACCACGGCATATACATTTTGTCAAGTGCACATGGAATGCTTAAAAGAATAGACTATAGACTAGGACACAAGTCAATTGTCAGTAAAACTACAAAGATCAGAATTATATCAAACACTCCTCTAACCATAATACCACAAAGCCAAAAATCAACTACTTAACACACACACATACAAATGGAAGAACTATGAATACATGGAGACTAAATAGTGTGCTGATTAATAGCTATTAGATAAAGAGCAAATTAAAGCAGAAAAAAATACCTGAGATTAATGAAAATTAGAACACAAATTACTAAAATTTATGGGATGCAGTAAAAGTGTTATTTTAAGGAGCATGATAACTGTAATACAGGCCCACTTTAAGAAGCAAGAAATAGCCCAAGAAAACATTTTAATGCTCTACCGAAAGTAACTTGAAAAAGAGGAGCAAACAGGGCCCAAAATTAGTAGAAGGAAGGAAATGATAAGAATAAGAGTGGAAATAAATGATATACACATCAAAAAGACTGTACAAAAAAATCAATCAAACTAAGAGTTGGTAAACAAAAGACAAGCCTCTAGTGAGGCTAACAAAGAAAAGAGGAAAGAAAACTTAAATAGAATCAGTTATGAAAGAGGAGAAATTACCACAGCACAGAAATACAAAGGATAGGAAATTACTACCAATAACTATATGCCAAGAAATTCTGTGAACTTAAAGAAATGGACATATTTCTAGATCAATATAACTTAGCAAGACTTACCTAGGAAGAAGAACATGAGTTGAACGAACCGATCACAAACACAAAAATGAAACAGCAATTAAAAAATCTTCCCCCAAACGAAAGTGCAGGACCATCTAACTTTACAAAGGAATTTTATCAAACCTTTTAATTACAGTTAATACTTATCTTCTTCAAATTCTTTTTAAAAATACCAAAGAGGGAACACTTCCTAATACAATAGGGTAAAACATTGCCCTAATATTGAAACTAGATAAAGACAGCACAAGAAAATTATAGACCAATATTCCTAAGGAACACTTATGGAAATATCTTCAAGAAAAGAGTAGAAAATCAAGTCAACAATGTATCACTAAGATTTTACACCACAATCAAGTGAGGTTTATCTCATGGATGCGAGAATGATTTAATTTATGTAAATCAATGACTATAATACCTCATACTAACAAAAGTAAAAATAAAAGTCATTTGATAATATTCAGCACCCATTTATGATTAAAGATCTAAACAAGCGGGGAATAGAAGGAACCTACCTCTGTATAATATGGGACTTTTATTACAAACAACAGTCAATATTAAAAAAAAAAAAAAGCTAAAAGCTTTCCCCTTAAAGCAAGAATGACCACAGTGACCACTTTTTTTTTTAAGATTTATTTTTATGTATGCATACAAGAGCTGGGGTGCAGGCTGGAGGTACGGAGGGGTAAGAGGATTCACCAGAGACAGAGTGGGGAGCAAAACAGGCAGATCTACTGAAATACACTGCTGAGGAGAGCAGTAAGTAAGACAGGAGAGGTCTGCTGCGCCATGTGGGTCAGCTGCCTGGCTGGGGCTCGAACTCATGCTGCAGTGGCTGTGGATAGTTTACTAGTGCTGACGCTTGACCGCTTGAGCCACCAGGGAGGCCCTCTGTAGATTGTCTTTTTACTTTCTTGATTGTGATCTTTGATACACAAAAGTTTTTAATTTTGATAGTTTAATTTATCTGTTTCTTTCTTTTCTTGCCCATAATATTTGTGTCATATCTGAGAATCCAGTGTCAATAAAATGATCATGATGATTCCTCCCTTATTTTTTGTCTGTTTATGTTTTTAGCTCTTATATTAGGTCATTGATAGATCCACTTTGACACTATTTTTGTATAATACAAAGTGGGTTCCTGCTTCATTCTTTTACATGTGAGTATTCAGTAATCCCAAAGTCATTTGTTGAAGAGATTCTTCTCTCCTTAAATTGTCTTGGCACAATTGATTGAAAATCAATTAATCATAGATATGTTGGTTTATTTCTGGACTGTCAAGTCTATCCCACTACTTTTTTTATTTTCTGTATGGACTGAGTTTCCTGTTTTTGTTTTTTTCTTTTTTCTTTTATAACAGGATCCTGGTGTTGACAGCACCATTTTCCAGAATCCCAAAAAGCTTCACCTAACTATTGGGATGTTGGTACTTTTGAGTGAACAAGAGATCCAGGAAACATGTGAAATGCTGCAGCAATGTAAAGAGGAGTTCATTGAGTGAGTAAGCACAGAATGGTGAAGGATGGTCACACCATACTGACTTCTTTTTGTTATCACAGACTTGTTTTTGAACTAGTGAGCTGACTGACGTGGGAATAGGGTTTGTTGATGCAGCCATTTGTAACACTTAATATTGTGCCATTGCCTAAAATGTTCATTAACAGGACACCCCATTATTTTCTCCAAAAGGGAATCCTCTTAATTACATGTCCAAGAGTATAGGCTATAGTGTCAGTATACTGTAGTATTAGTTTTCTGTGCTCTTGTAATATAGTACTATAACCTTGGTGGCCTGAGATAATACGGATTTATTATCTTATGGTTCTGTGGAGTAGAAAGCTGATAGGGGTTTCAGTCAGCTACATCAGGTGTTGAAAGAGTTTTGTTCCATTCTGGAAGTTCTAGGGGAGACTCCATACCTTGCCTTTAAAGTCCAGCTTCTTGAGACCATCTAGATTTCTTGGTTAGTGGCCCCCTTCCTCTATCTTCAGCACTGACAGCATTGCATCTTTCTGATCCTTCTGTTGTCACATTCCCTCTCCCTTTACTCCATTTACTTAGAATGTTGAAAAATAAGAACTTTGAGAACTGACTCACTTGGGGAAAAAAAAGGGTTTTTTAATTCAGCTGTAATATGCAGAGCTGATATTCTTCTAACATGGCCTTGTAGAAATGGGTTACTGGGTTCATTGGGTAAAATGTGATAAGAGAATTAATTTTTTTCCAGTTATTTTATATGGGAAGCCATGTAATTTGATGACTTATTTGTGGACCAGTTTTCTTTTTCCATAAATTAGTTTGAAGATAGGTGTTTTTGTTTTTTTTAAATATTTATTTATTTATGCATAAAAGAGCTGGGATGTAGGCCAGAGGTGTGGGTGGGGGGAGGGTGAGAGGATTCACCAGAGACAGAGTGGGGAGCAGAACAGGCAGATCTACTGAAATACACTGCTGAGGGGAGCAGCGGGTGAGACAGGAGAGGTCTGCTGCACCATGTGGGTCACCTCCCTGGCCAGGGATCGAACCCTGTGCTGCAGTAGCTGTGGATAGCTTAATAGTGTTGATGCTTAACCCCTTGCACCACCAGGGAGGCCCAGGTAGGTAAATCATAAGCTGACTAGGTTTGCAGTCTGCCTGTTCCTGTTGAATCTCAAAAACCAGAGAATACTTATTTTTGTTTTTCTTTGGTCAGCAATGGACATAGCTTTTCTATTTTACCTAAAATTAAAAATAATTTGATGTCTGTAATTAGATATTTACATTTTTCTTACTTAAAATTTTACGTTTAACCTTACAAAGCAGAACAACTTTACCAGCTTTCAGCATCAGTTCTGATTTTTTAACTTGTTCCCAGATCACTTTTTGCTAAATGAAACTGAAAGCAGCTGTATTTTCTTGACTGCCTCTGGGAAAATCCTGCTAAGAAAAAATTTAGATTTAGATAAAATATTTGTTTAGAGAAGTATTTGTTTTTTTACCTTATGAAAATCAGGTCACAGGTTTTTAATCACTGCAGCTCTATACTGAGCTATGTGAGGATTTAGCTGAGTTCTTCCCTTTTATGTCTTTTGGTGCCTTTTGTGATTAAATGCCAACTCTGAACCCTTTGAGTATGTCAGGGTTGGTGTGCATAGAGAATGAAGAGCAGCCTTAATAGTTCCTAAGAATTTTTAACATGACAGGATGAAAACAGTAATTGTAGTTTTCCAATTCAGCAAAGCTTTTGAAATAGGACAAAGTTACCCTGCCAAAAATCTGCAGTGCAGGCAAAATTTTTTTAAAAATGCTCTTTTTAAAAAGGTGGAAAGATTTGAAGCCAGCAAGTAAAGCAGACATTCCCAACCCTCTTTCACCTTGCCCTGTGCCACACACACTTGTTTAAAAATATGTAGTGCAAAATTAATTTGCTTCTGAGAAGAAGGAGAAGAAACAGAATTGGTTATTTGGATTGGTTAGAAATGTCTTGTTTCCCTAAAATGAAGAAATGTCTACTTAAAAAAAAAATGTTTCAAAAAAAAAATGTTTCTTTAAAGACTTGGTGAATAAAATGCATTACCTGACTTTTTTCTTCCCTTTTTGCTCTTTGACCTCAACCTTTGTATATGGTATACTTTGAAAAAATGTCAATAAATAATTGCATTTCTAACCTGAACCTTTTATGATATAAAAATCCCAAATTAAATATAAAAAGGTAAACCTTGAAAACGAGTATACTAGTATACATACTTTGCCATCATTTGATTTGCTGACCTTATTAATTGAGGTGTAAATAAATATGACTATGGACAGTTGAATATTTGTTTTAAATGTGGGAATGGTTTTGGAATTTAAGGGGTATTATCTGACTAGACACAGAACTTTGATTTCAGTTCTTAGGCTAATGACTTATGTAGCTGTATAGATTTTGAATGAATGATTCACAGTGTTCAGTAAATGCTGAAGCTCCAAATGTGTCCCTAGTGACTTTTCTTTGTGAGATGTAGAACACAAATACAGCGATGGCTCTGAGTATGTAGTCTGACAAATATGTAGTACTTTTTTAGCTCCAGTATCGTTCTACTTATACCTAAGTGTTCCCAATAGGCTTGAGGTAAAACCCAGTTACAAGTTAAAAAGGGATAAGAAAAGGAGGAAAAATACTCTTGGACAAATGTGGGTTCCTAATTGCCTCAGATGTCACTTAATTGAAAAGTAGATCCATTGATGTCCCAGGAGAAACAGTTTGGTCCTCAAGACAAAGAGGATTTAGCAGGCAAACCAGTGGATTTCTTTTTGCTCTTTACTCTCCCTCTTGGTAAATCCGAGGGGTAGATAGAAAGAGTTTCTCTTTCTACTCTGTTTCATTTATTTATTTTATTTGGTACCACATTTAATTCCAAGGATTTGAGGTAATTTATAGTGAGGCAACATATATAAAAGAAATGTTAAAATGTTAAAAACCAGAAATCGTAAATATGCAATAGGGATAAAATTCTGCCTGAAAACCAAGGTAAGGTCATTGTACTTGAACCCTAGCATTTAGTACTGTTCTTGGGCACCAGTATACTTGAACTAAATTCCCAAAAGAAACATACCAATTAATTACAGTTCTTATCTGATCAAAAAGTTTAACAATTTTTTATAAGTGAATCCTTTTCTGATGCTCAATCCAAGAAAAACTTGTCATGTAAATCTGAAATAGAGAAGCCAGTGTTTTCATCAGGACTTTTGTAGAAGATGCCAAAATGTTGTTTACATTGCTTTTTATTGTATTGTTCCCTAGAAATAGAGTATATCATTAAATATAATCCAGTGAAAACATTTTAATGGGAAACTAAACTTTTGGTGATTTAAATATGCGTGGTTATAGCTGAAAACACATAGAGGAGCATATAGTCAGTATGAAACCTTTTTTTTTTTTAAGATAATTTTTCTTGACTGTAGTTTGATAGGAGTAAATGGTGGCCTTTTATAGTGGATTCTCTGTTAATTTGATTAGAGTTACACTTATGGGGTAGGACTCTCTAAAAGGGTCTTGGATTTTTCTTAATGTGTCCAGAGCAGGTCTCTTTTTTACCTTGGTATGGGAACTAAAGGTTGATGAAGGCTCTGTGAGATCTGTTCCTTTTATTTATTTTTTAAAAAAGATTTATTTTTTATTTATACAATAGCTGGGGTACAGACCAGAGGCACGATAGGGTGAGAGGATTCACCAGAAACAGAGTGGAGAGCAACAGGCAGACTGACTGAAACACACTGCTGAGGGGAGCAGCGGGAGCTACAGGAGAGGTCTGCCCCGCTATGTGGGACTCTCCCTGGCCGGCCAGGAATCGAACCCACGCTGCAGAGGCTGCAGACAGCTTCACAGTGTTGTGCTCAACCCGCTGCACCACCGGGGAGGGCTGCTACTTTTATTTTTTAAGAATACAGATTATTTTTAGTTGAAAACAATGAGATCCCTAAAGTCTCACAGAAGCTTCTCTCCTTCCTCAGTCCTTTGCCCTTCCCCAATCAAAGAAGAGATCTCATGTCCTAAGCTTCTGCCCTTTTCCTAATCATTGCTCCTCCTTTGATGATCTAGAAAAATGTAGTTTGAAGGATCTCGTCCAGTTGTAGGTTTATCAATGAACATGTCCTCTCTAACGAAGAATCTAATCTTTAAGAGTAAAGATCAAGGGGCCTCCCTGGTGGCGCAAGGGGTTAAGACGCAATCTATGAAGCTAACTGCAGCCACTGCAGCACGAGTTTGATCCCCAGCCAGGGAGCAACCCACATGGTGCAGCAGACCTCTCTTGACTTGCCCACTGCTCCCATCAGCAGTGTATTTCAGTCAATCTGCCTGTTCTGTTCCCCACTCTATCTCGGGTGGATACTCTCACCGCCCGCATCTCTGACCTGTACTCCCTTTCTTGTATGCATGAATAAATAAATCTTTAAAAAAAAAAGTAAGGATCACGTAAGTAACCCCTTCCTTGTCTGTTATGAAATCTGCCCCCCTCCTTGTTTGTTACCCTAAACACAAGATAAGTATCCCCAGTCTACTCTGATATTCTTTGGAGTTTACAGTCATGTAAATTCTCAACTTGTACGTTATTAAATTGATTTTTTTCTTTGTTAAGCCATCTGTTTTGCTGTTTTGATTACTCACCCAGCCTAAGAAGAATCGGGAGGGGTACAGTATGATTTCCTTTGTTCCCCTATTCATTGTATTATTGATTGAGCTCAGATAACAGCTCAGAACCGGCTTGCATTTTGGAATATCACATTTATTGCACATGGCCACAGGGATACTTATGATATTCTCAAATATCTGTCTAAAAATAGTTACTTGGTTTCTTACTGAGAAAAGTTTTGATCTTGTACAATATTACAGCCTTGAAGTTTCAAGGAAATCTTTACCATTAAGATTCTTAGGCTACAAAGAGTCTCTCTCTGACCTCAGTTCAATATGAAGAGGACTTTTTCCTTTAGCTTTTTTTGAATTGTCTTTTGATGGATCCTAAAATCCTTTTGTCTTTGAGCCAGCACATTTTATTCAATAACACTTTAGGAATGTGTCCACATTTCCCTCCACATTGTCTAGAACAGCTCCTCTGTTTTACAGTAGAACATCCAATCATTGTTTACTAGATATTTATTGAGTACTTACTTAATACAGGTGCTGTGACAGGTTCAGGGATATAGGAATGGATAAGATATATAGGTCCTTGACCTTAGGGGGTTTGGAGAAGGCTGTGTGGTAAGGTGATTTATAGCTGGGTTTCAGCTTGGCACAGCAAGACCTTTTCAGGTTAAACTGTAAGTCTGTGTAAAGGGTCTGGAGCACAGCAGGATGGCAGGGTTTTATAGTAGTAGGACATAGTAGTAGGAAACAGTAATTTTAGAAAAGTTAAAAATTGCATATGAACAAAAATAGCACTTGTAATCTTCACACTTACATATAATGACCATTAACACATTGGAATATCTATTCCCATACATTTTTTATAAGTGTATATGTGTTTTTTTGTGCAGGTATAATTTACTTACATTAGATCTTTTTTTTCTAAGATTTATTTATTTATTTATACAAGAACTGGGGTACAGGCTAGATTCTTGGGGAGGTGAGAGGATTCACCAGAGACAGAGCGGGCAACAGAAAAGGTAGACTGATGAGGGGAGTAGCGGGCAATACAGGAGAGGTCTGCCGTGCCATGTGGGACCCTTGCCGGTGGGCCGGTATCGAACCCATGCTGCAGAGGCTGCGGACAGCTTCACAATGCAGCGCTCAACCGCCTGCACCACCAGGGGAGGCCCCACTTACATCAGATCTTAAGTGCAGTTGATGAATTTTGATAAATGTATGCAATCGCCCCATGAAGCTCCCTCATTCCTATTTCCAGTAAATTCACTTCTTCCAGAAGTACCTGTGTTCTGATTTGTATTACCATAGGTTCATTTTGTTTATTCTTTAATGTCATATACATAGAATCATTCAGTATATACACTTTTGTGTTTGGCTTCTTTGCATTTTTTTAATTTTAATTTTTTAATGGATAATATATTGACATGGTTCGAAATTTTATTTTTTTTTAAAGATTTATTTATTTATTTATTCATACAAGCACTGGGTACAGTCAGAACATGGTTCGAAATTTTAAAGGTACGAAGGATATGCAGTAGAGTTTCCTTCCTTACCACTGTTACTTCCCTAGCTACTTGCTCTCCTCTATAGAGGCAACACATGTTGCCTGTTTCTTTGTATCCTTTCAGAAATTTTAAGTATGTTTAAGCAAATATATATGTGTAAATTTTCTTAATCCCCATCTTTTTTTAAAGATTTATTTTTATTTATGCATACAAGAACTGGGGTATAGGCCAGAGGTGTGGGGGTGGGGTGTATGTGAGAGAATTCACCAGAGGCAGAGTGGGGAGCAGAACAGGTGGATTGACTGAAATACACTGCTGAGGGGAGCAGCGGGCAAGACAGGAGAGGTTTGCTATGCCATGTGGGTTAGCTCCCTGGCCAGGGATAGAACTCATGCTGCAGTGGCTACCAACAGCTTGAGAGCTCTGATATTTTAATCCCTGCACCACCAGGAAGGCCCTGTTGTATACTTTTTTGAAATTTAAAAAGATAATCATTTTGTATCAGTGCGTGAATTCTCTGTATAGCTAATCATGTTTAGCTAATCTGCTGCTCACAGTATTCTGATTTATTTAATCAGTACCATGTAATTGGACATTTAGTCTGTTGCTAATCTTTTGCTACTCCAAACAGTGCAAAATTCTATACATAAGTTATTTCTCATGGGTATGAATTTATTTCTGTTGCATCATATCAGAAGGCACATATCACTTGGTGGTTTCTTTTTTGCTGTGTGATAAACTTGATCTCTGGGTTCAGATGTAGTCAGCTTTATCCATTGTTTATGGAGTTCCCCTTGCTGGGATCCTTTTATCTCTTCTCCAGTCTTTTCCCTAACTTTTAGCAGCCATTGGTGATTATTACCTAGATCTTTTATTTGTCAGGGCCTGCAAAATGGTGCTTTCTAATTTCATTATTGCTTCTACATTTATCACTTGGAATTCTTCTGTAAGAACTTTCCTTTATGAACTGCAGCTGGAAGTTCAGCTACTAGTTTTGATTCCTTTTCTTTGGGAATTTTATTGTAAAGAGTGTCAATTTTTTTTTTCAGCAAGCTAATATCTTGAAAGAGGGGAAAAATGATCATGAATTTGTAGCTGAATTTATAATTATTTCCTTAGACTTGGATCCTAGAAATGAAATTGCTTGGACAAAAGGTTTCCATTCTTGAAACCTTTTTATAAATATTGCCAAATTGCTCTTAAAGATAAGTATACTGATTTACACCTCCACCATTATTATATGAAATACTATTTGTAATTTGTAGATGAACTGAAGTAATACCTGAGAGTTGTGAAGTACAGTAAATGTCTTTGTCTATCAAAATGTCATGGTTTGGCTTTTTCTTAGGGAGTACTGATAAACTACATTCGGATAAACATAGTATGGCTTTGTAAATATTTGTTTTTACAGTTTGTATGCATTGAAGATATATTAATTTTGAAATTAGAATGATAGATTAAGGCTGTTGGTAAAAAATGAAACCCAACAACTTATTTTTTGTAATCTTTGACCATGTGTATTAACCATGTTTCAAAATATAATTACCATCTTAGCTGAACATTTCTAGAAATCTAATTTTTTCTTTTGCAGTGATATTGCTGGGGGCAAACCCCTGGAAGTAGAGATGGCAGGGATAGAGTACATGAATGATGATCCTGCTATGGTGGATGTTCTCTATGCCAAAGTTCATATGAAAGATGGTTCCAACAGGTATGTTTCTGGAATACTTTTTTTCAGTATTGAAAAATTTGAGGTTTCTAACAGCATTCCTGGAAGATCAGCTACTAGTTTTGATTCCTTTTCTTTGGAATTTTATTGTAAAGAGTGTCTTTTTTTTTTCCAGTAAGCTAATATCTTGAAAAAGGGGGAAAAATTATCAGACTTTTAGTGATAATTATTGATAACTTGGTGATAAATTATCCAAGTATGGTGGATCCAAGTAACTCAGCATTTATGGAACTCAGTGCTTCCTTCATGTTTTCCAGGATAATAGGAGGCAAGAAGAATGGCATATATAGGATGGTAGTTTCAAAAGGGACACATGCAGATCCACTGAATATTAGAACAAAATGGCAATGGTAATTTTGCTAAATTCACAGGATTATTAGGATTAAATTGATCAAAATAAAATGATCAGAACAATTAACATCATCAAAACCTACATTAAGAAATGTTTACTATTTTTAATTTTTGTTATTATCACAACTAGGATATTTCTGAATCTAGCCTAGGTATCCAGAACCATTTTCAGGATCAGTTACATTTTTTAGTCTACTTAAGGCATTAAGTGAATAGAGGAGCCCAACTTGAATCGGAAGTTTCTTTTCATTTTTTTTTTTTTTTTTTTTTTTTTTTCCATTAGCTCAGAATAGAATGAAACTCATATTAAATCAGAAATCCTCTGGAGAAAATCTTAAGTCTCTAGGTAGGCCTTAAATTGATTTGCTTTCCTATAGGCTCTCTTAAGATTTTTCTTATCTCAGTTTGAATTGATAATTCTAATTGACTCCTATCTTAATTCAGTTGGAAGTGAATTTTGAGGGGAAAGGAAGGGGAGATTGGCATAGAACTAGTTTGTCTGTGTGTGTTCTGGATCTAATTTATCTTTTCCAAGATAATTGGCGTGTGCCTCAAGAGCATACTAATGACCCTGCTGTAAAAACTAGGGGCACATTATTATTTAACAGGAGATTATATGCTAGCACATCCCAAAGCCTCATTATTAGGTTAGAATTTGCTATCTGGTATGGATCATTTACTTTGTATTCTAAGTAATTATTGTCCAAATTCCTTTACTGTGTCAGGGGGTTACTATATGTGGGATAGAGGATACTATATATGGGGTAGTTTACTCTTCAATTTTGTAAACAGAAACTAAATCATAAGATAGTAAATCTCAAATTCTTTGGTCTCATATCTCTTTAATTTCCTAAAAATTACCCTAAAGAGCTTTTATTTATGTGGGTTATATCTGTTCAATATTTAACTTATTAGAAGTTAAAACTGAGAAATTTAATATTTGTTCATTAATTTGAAGCAGTAGTAATACAATAATTTATTATTTGTATAAGTAACACCTTTTTTTTTTTTAAGATTTATTTATTTATGCGTACAAGAACTGGGACACAGGCCAGAGGTGCGGGGGTGTGAGAGGATTCATTAGAGACAGAGTGGGGAACAGAACAGGCAGAATGAAATACACTGCCAAGGGGAGCAGCGGGTGAGTCAGGAGAGGTCTGCTGCGACATGTAGCTACCCTGCTACTCCCCTCAGCAGTGTATTTTGGTCAGTCTGCCTGTTCTGCTCCCTACTCTGTCTCTGGTGAATCCTCTCACCTCCACCCACACACCTCTGGCCTATACCCTAGTTCTTGTATGCATAAATAAATTTAAAAAAAATTTTTTTATGAGAATTTGGACTTTAGGTGATTTCCTGTAATAGATATACATGTTGATTCTCAATGTTCTTAAAATTTGGAATTTGTTTAATTTGAACTTTATATAATGTTAAAATTGAAATTTATATAATGTTACTTGAAATTTATGTAATGTTAAAATAAAAAAATTTAAAATGCATATATAATGCTATCTCAGGTGTTTCTACTGATTCTAACAGACTGCATTATAACTCATCTTGTTTAGAGAACTGATGGGTATAAGCATGCAAAAAAAAATGTAGTGAGAAAATAGGCATTGTTTCACCTTTTTGTAAATATCTTTAATAGAAGACTGTTAGGTTCTCACATCTGCTTTGTTATTCAATCTGTCTGATATGTTGTTTTGATTCGAAGTATATGAAAAAAATCTGGCCTTTTGCAGACATGTAAATTGGAAAAGCGAGGAGTACTTTACTGACTTGTTTATAATTGTAGATATTTGATATCACACTAAAACTTAAAGTCATAATTTTTTGAAGCATCAGTTGCAAAGTGAAATCTGAAATCATATTAGTATCATACTCATTAAAATCCATTTGACCAACATTATATTTTAACTGGCTCTTTTAACCCATACACAGTTTTTAAACAAACAAAACATTGAGTTATGCAGATCTTCCAAATGTTGGCACATTTCATTATGAAGTACTAAAAATGTCTTAATATACTTCCAGCTTCATTAAAATCTTGCATATTGAGAAGCGGTCAAGCTTGTGGTGACAGATACATATTTTCCAAAATTCTGACTTTCACCTTTCAGCAAAAAATACTGGTTACTGTTTTCCTTGAAGTTCTTTTTTGAGAAAATGTGTCCCAAGTAGCCAAATCTCAATATAATTTGTTAGTTGTTCTTTCAAATAAAAATGGCGTTGCATGGAAGAGAGGCCAGTTCAGCTCATAGCCCAGCCAACCTCGCAAGTACTTTTCCTCTAGACAGTCATCTACTCAGATACACAGCCCAAGTGCTTTATATATACTTATAATCTATTACACAAATATTAAAAGACATGCACTCAAAGGCTGAGATTTGTTAAAATTGATCCTTTTTACTCCTTCAACAAAAATGAAACTGGTTTTCATTTTAGTGAAATGTATAGTAAATATATAGTGCAGAGCATATTAATAGTAGTATAATTTGATACTAGTGACCTACTTAGTACTTAATCTGTACTAAGGAGCCAGCAGTTTTACCTACCATTGCTTTTTTTTGCACTAACAGTGTAAATGTCATTATAGTAAAAAAGGCAAATAACATAACATAAGTATTTTAGAAATAGGTTTCATCTCATAGGACTCCTTAAAAGAGTCTCAGGGAACTTCCATAGACATACCATACTGTGAGAATCTCTGCTCTAAATAAGATTTATTTAGAATATTTATGGTTGCATAGTTTCCAGGGAAATTATAATTAACTTTTGTTTAGCCCTTGCACTTCCTTGGCACTGTGCTTAGATTGTATTACCACCATTTTATCTTCATGCTTCTGTATGAGATAGATTGTTCTTATGCCCACTTTGTAGATCAAGGCATCTCAGAGAGTTTAGTAAGTAAATTGACTGAGGAACACATAGAAAGCACAATCATGCTCTGAAACCCTATGCTGTAATGAAGAAGGTTTTCAGTGTGTGTATGCTAGATTGAGTAGGAGAGACAATTTTCTAACTATTACTCCTAGAGTAAGATGGAAAATTGTGACCCACTTTTTTTGGAAAATGATAAAATTCACATAATGTTTTTAAAAAGCCACTATCTTAACCATTTGAAAGCATGTAATTTAGTGGCATTAAATACATTAACAACATTGTGCAACCATCACCACTGTCTAGTTCCAAAACATTTTTATCACTTCAAAAGGAAATTCCATACCCATTTAGCTGTCACTCTCCATTCTTCCCTACCACCATATCTCTTTTCCCTGCCCCTAATAAACAATAATGTATTAATTCTCTATGGATTTGACTATTCTGGATATTTCCTATAAACAGAGCTATATAAGGTGTCCTTTGGTGCTTGGCTTCTTTTACTGAGCATATTATTTTCAAGGTTTATCTATCTTGTAGCTTGTATTAGTACTTCATTCCTTCCTATGGCTAAATAATACTCCATTGAATGAAGATACCACTTTTTTATTCCTTTATAAGTTGCTACACATTTGGGTTGTTTCTGCCTTTTGGGGATTCTTATTAGAGCTGTTCGCAATTCTTTTGGGATGACTCATGTCTTTAAAATATATCATAGACATGGTTATGGTTTTTCTGTTCTTTCTTTTTTTAAAAAAAGATTTATTTATGCATAAAAGAGTGGGGTGTAGGCCAGCGGTGTGGGAGAAGGGGGGGATAGTAAGAGATGGAGTGAGGAGCAGAACAGGTGGAGTGACCAAAATATACTGCTGAGGGGAGAGGTCTGCTGTGCGGTGTGGGTTAGCTCCCTGGCTGGGGATCCAACTCATGTCTCAGTGGCTGGCGATAGCTTCATAATGCAAGAAGAGACTTAACTCCTTGTGCCACCAGGGAGGCCCATTTTTTATTTTCTTGATTAACTTTGTAATTTTATAGGCCATTATACTCGGCCTGACCTCTATTTGTTTCCTTCTGTGATGGGAATTATGTAATTTTTTGTTGATACTTACTATAAACTTAGCTGTTATAAAGCTTAAATCTATGCTAACCTCTAGATATCTGTTAACATGAAGCTACGTGGAAAATTACGATGTTTCACTAAATAAAATAGTGACTTTTTTTCTAATCTATGACTTCAAGTATATTTTAATATATAGATGGCATAGACTTCAGTTCTGATTTACGCTACTCTTGATGACTTTCAGAGGCAAAAAGAGTGGTCAAAGAGAAAGAATGATAAAATCATTACTTTGTAATTTGTTTCCATTGGATATGTTTGCCTTTAGCTTTAATGGTCAGACCCTAATTTGTGGGAGGTCTTCAAGTAAAGAGAAGAATAGGAAGTTCTAAGGTTGGAAGAAAATAAGAGCTATGGAAGTGTTATGTCCTCTGAACACAGTACGTAGGTATAATTTCCATATACCCTAATGGAAGGGTAAAGGCTCAAAAAGTGAATATATTCTTTATTTTCTTATACTCTTACAAATTTTCTATACTTTCTGTTGTCAAGATTTTGTAAGTTGATAAACCAAGAACATATTTGAGTAATTCCCATTTCTCTTACCGCTTTATTTTCTCCTTTCTATTGCCCATTCCTCTTTCATAATAAGAGTTTGTGTTATTTCAAACAGATTTATAAATTTCCCTCCCAAGAT